ACTAGACATCAGGAGGCGCCACTTCACGGTCAGGGCGGCTGGGATCTGGAACCAACTTCCAAGAGAAGTGGTGCTGGCTCCTACCCTGGGGGTTTTTAAGAGGAGGTTAGATGAACACCTTGCTGGGGTCGTTTGACCCCAGTAATCTTTCCTGCCATGGCAGGGGGTCAGACTTGATGATCTACTCAGGTCCCTTCTGACCCTAGAAACTATGAAACTATAAACAGGTGAGCAATGGGGAATTTTCCTGCAGCCAGTTGGGTTTATTCTTCCAAGTCTACAAAGGGGCTTTCTGGTTTGCAGCCACTCAGCATTGATCACCAGGGATCTGTGGGTTGGGAAGAAAGGAGTGTGTGAAGAGAGTAGGCAGAATCTGACTGACTTCATTGCATGGTTGGCTTTCATTGTCTTTCTCTCCCCCTGGGCAGACGAGGTGACGATGAAGGAGATGGGGAAGAAGGACCAGCTTCGAGCAGGGGAAATTCTCATCATTGTCGTGGTGTTGTTCATGTGGGCAGGTCTGTAACCCGTCTATGGCGAAGGCAGCTCATGTCCCCTGAGTCAGCTTGCTTGCTTTGTTTGCATGCATGAATATTTGCACAAGATGCTCGGAAAGAGAAATCTCAACTCTCCCATCTACAGCATGACATATTTTGCAATAAATGCATTTCATCTTCCTCTGGGCATGGGGCACTGTTAGAGGCACGATGCCGAATTAGTTGGATAACTGCTCTGATTTGGTACAGCAGGAGGTAGGATAACAGTTTTAACAAACAAATTGCCTAATTTGCTGTGGCAAATCCTATATTCTGAATCCTTCTAGGCAACATTGATGAAAACACCCTTACCCTTCTCTGGTTATTAAAGCAACATGGCCTAATCAACTTGTATCAGTGTCACTATCTGGCTTATTGTAAGCCTGTGAGCCACATGCAAAGCTGTAATTTTTGTAAAGAGGTTCAGCTAATACACTGACAACAGACATCACAAATCAAGAGTGAGATATGGCCTTCAGCCTCACACCCAAGCATCCACTGTTGTATATTTACTAAAACCCACTTCAGGCTCCATTAAAATAACAGAACTGTTAAAAGAACAAGTGGTCTGAAGCAGCAAAACATAAACCACCAAGACAGCCCTAAACCTGAACTGGGTATAAAAAACAAAGTTTTAAAGACCCAAACTTCCCACGTATGCAAGCTCAGAACCGATCAGCTTCGTACTGATTAGTATCAGCAAAGCCAGGGGGAAGGTGATGAGCTGTGGATAACCATTTTGAAAAAGTCAATGAATGGTACAGAGAGGAAAGCATCCAGGGAACTGTCCCAGTCTGAAGAATCTGTATATTTGTGAGAAGTTCCCACTACCTTACTCCTGTGATATTCCCCTGGACTTCTGTGAACTGTTAGGCCTTAGAATGGCTCTTTGGGTTGAATGGGCCAAGAGCTGGGGAGGGCAAGGGGAATTATGAGGCTATCAAAAGGAAGTGGGAAGCCATTGGGAGCTGTGGGGTGCTCAGCACATTTGGAAATGGGATGGTGTGCTTAGGTGCCTAAAAGTGGTCTTCAGAGCCTACCTTGAAGACCCCATTTTTGAAAATCTTGGCCCAGCTCTCCAGGCCTCACTCAGTCTGTGGCCTGACTGTGCCAACGTGAGCTGTGCTGCATCAGGCTGGTTTAAAAAACCTGTAGCTTAAAAGCAGGGCCAGCTACACAGCAGGGGCTGAGGAGAAGGGTTGCAGGGTGGGGCAGAGTATAGATTATCAATCCTGGGGCCATCTTGCAATGGGAAGAGCTTAGAAGAAAGTGTATGGGAGCTCCACAGACTAATGGGGCAGCTAGCAAGTGGGTTATTTAATTCACCACCCCAGCATTATGATCCCCCAAACCAGTGTTTGCAATATCATATGATAAAAGAAAAGAACACACAAGGTGTTTAGGAAAGCAACAATTTCCGCAGCATAAGTTTGGGACTCTGTACACTCATAAAGCTATATGACCCCCTATAGTGCCATACCTATTTGCAAAGACCAGCCTGGCCCCTGTGTTTTAATCCAGGTCCTTTGTGAGAGAGAAACCCCCTTCCTGGATATGGTGCTTTCACAGTGTTCTCTGCAGCCAGCACTTTGGCTCACGCAGGTTGGACCCTTAATGAGACGGGGGAAATAAAGTCTGTGCTCGCTGCTCTCCGGATAGAGTCCCAGCTTTCTCCTCGCCTCCATTCAACAGCTGCTGCTGCTACATCAAACATTCATGAAGCAGTGCAGTGCACTGCTCGGCAACCCCCCATCACAGTGGCCTAGGGGAGGATATTTCAGGTGAAACAAAGGAACTGGCACACAAGGAAATTAATGATACAGTAAATTGTACAACCCGTAAAATGCAGCCTTTCCTCATCGGCATTAATGGCTTTTGTGCCAGATGGAAGGGATCACCACGTACACTGTGCATGCACAGATCCGTGCAGAAAAACAACTACTGCTGGGACAGAAAGCCACCGCATTCGGGGCGTGAGGTTAAAGACAAGTGTCCCCACGTGCCCTCCGAGAACGTGTGGGAGACATCACAGAAGATGATTTCCCCATAGAGAGCAGTCACTCAGACCTCTGCCCCTGAATTATGAACTGGTGATTTTCCCTCTGGACTGCGGGTCTCTGCCTGAGCTCTGAGGCAGGGACTGCCAGGGCAGAAGGCAGCTCCAAGGCGACACAGAGCTTGAGTGTCACTGCCCTGCTTCCCTTGGATCTTCCCTTGCTAGGTGAGGTGATCCACTCCCTTGCCATCCCAGAGCGCAGCCTGACTCACAGCCTTGCTTCTGGCAGTCTAACAGCTTTGAAATGCTTTCAGCTGTGTTTGTATGCTCCCTCATTTTTTTCCCAAAGCCCTACCGATTGCTATGCTTAGGGAGGGTTAAACTATGCCCTCCAGGGACACTGGGTGAAAATCTCTTCTGGCGTAAGCTCCTGCAGTTTTGCTGACTTCAGTGGAGCTGTGCTAATTTACGTTATCGGGGGATTTGGCCTAGTTATGCTAAAATTCAGACAACCAGGGGTTGTTTCCACAGAGCGATCTGGAGGTGAAATGAGGTTGCAAACCAGAGATCAGATAAACCAGGCAGGGGATACTTGTGTTCCCCTAGGATTCCTTCCAGGCATAAGTGAATCCAAGTGGTCTGGCAGCAGCAAGACCTGATCCACATATAATATTTCTTCCACTAAGAAGTCTTCAGTTAGCCAAGCCATGATACCTGCTTTTCACAGGCTGCTCTCCGCTAATGATAATAACCAAATGAGAACCCCAACTAATGGTATGGGAAATCCAACGTCTCTGCTCCTTTATGTCATTTAGATAAAGAAGTTACCATCTCTGCATTATTAGATACAAATCTCCTGCCTATAACAATAATCATTTGGGATCAACTATTTACATGAAGTAACTCCAAGTTTAAGGCAACATGAGGAGATCCAGTTTCCCTAACGTTCAGGTCACGGTGTGAGCAAAGAACAATCCAATGTTGTGAAGTTGATGGGGAAGTGCTTCTTTTAGACAAAATGGAGGTCCGTGGGTGGGGGAAATCTCTGCAGAACTGACAAGGTGTTTACAGTGTTTCAATCTGAAAATGACTTTTCCCACCCCTGCATCTGATGCAGCTGTGATTCAAATGTGGAGGCATTATTAGTGAATGCAAACTATGGTTAGTCTCAGCTCACATATGTATTTAACCTTCTTTGATGGCCCAGTGCAGGTAGCATGAGGCTTGGACTTAGGGCCTGGATTCTAGTCCTGACTTCGGCACTGCCACTGGTAGTTGCTTTGCCCCTCTGTGCCTTGCTTTCACAAATGAGGATGATGTTATGTGGGCAGGTGTCAAGATGTCCTCCCAAGACTAACCATTTGCTCACATGCTCAAAAAAAGAATCTGGAAGACAACATGCAAAAGTGACACCTGGTGACAGCTGCCATAACAACATTTATCTCTGCAAAAGCTTTTGAGATCGACAGGTGGAAAGCTCCATGTATGTGCAGGGTCTTATTGCTAGGAGAGTTGGAGTCTCTCCCGGCAGGGAAGAAGCGGTACCTCCCTGGCACCCCTGTCCCTGTGTTTGGACCCTGTAGGCCGAGGTGTTGTTATGGGGTCAGGACACAACAGAGAAGCATCCGTGAAACACTTTCATTCTCTTCATTTGTCACAGTTGCCTCTCCTTTGCTCTCCATACACTAAGTGTGCGGGAGGAAATTTCCACTGGTAGTTCTCTCTGCTGTACAGTGTGCTCATCACATCCTGCAGCTCTGCAGCCTTTCTCTTAGCTCCAGGGAAACAAAGCTAAGAAAGCCCATTTATAGTGAAGAGAAATTCCAGGATGCTCCTGCACTTGCAAAGCAGAGATCCCGTTAAACCTTCCCACGTGGCCAGGGCTGACTGCTGTCCAAATGAAGAGCTTAAAGCACCTGTCCCATTTAATGAAAGGCAAGTGGGACCCAGTTAATCTTCTCCCCAACTGGCTTAGAGCAGAATTTCTCACTGTGAAGAGGGGTGACTATATGTGTTAGGAAAGGATCCTTAAGACCAGGTGCTAATGCTGCTAAGATCTCTGCCGGAAGGTGCAGAATGATGCAGCAGGCTCGGGATCTCTGATTGCTGCAGATTCCACAGGCCTGGCTCATTTGTGATGGCTAATGCTTTTTCCTGGTAGGGGTGATCGCCCTGTTTTGCAGGCAGTACGACATCATCAAAGATAATGAACCCAATAACAACAAGGAGAAAGCCAAGAGCGCATCTGAGAACAGCACTCCTGAGCACCAGAGCGGAGGGCTCCTGCGCAGCAAGGTAAGAGGAGGGGGTGAGGCAGCCAGTCTGTGAATTCACATGAAAAACCAGCCTTCTGGTAAGGGTCCATACTACAGTATTCTCCCTGGTGGGCCCAGACAAGTCCACCAGGCACCTAAATGCAGTCAGGAGAGACAGCATAGGTTAACGGTTTGAGAACCCATCTCCAATTCAGGACACGCATGTTCTATCTCCAACTCTGAGACTCACTCCATGGCCTTAGTTAAGTAATTTCATCTCTGTGCCTCAGTTTCCCCATCAATAAAATGGGGATAATAATATCAATCCACATATGTAAAGCGACTTGAGCGCTCTGTTACCTGAAAGCAGTGAGCCAAGGCCACTATGTTTGGACCCCACAGCCATGATGATGTCCTTAAGTGGCAGATGGGATGTTACTTCTGTTCTCACGTAAACAGCAAGCAGCACGTGCAAGACAAGGAGCCACTGTAGTAACTTACTGGCAGAACCACAGGGTTAAAGTACATTGTGGCAGACTGGATCTGTACTGATGCCAGAGTTGGGCATGTGCTTTGCAGCAAATCGTTTTCTCCATCTCTCCTTTCTCTTCTGCTGCTCATAGACTGTTCCCTAGCACAGCCTTATTGCCTTGCATTTATTCTTTATTTCACATGATTCACTAAGGAATTCCTACCTTGCAGCTCATTTAGGAGCGGCTTGTCCCAAGGGTTCAGTATTCAAGCTCTGTTAGTCGGTTCTGATTTGACAGGCCGGTCGCGTGGTGCACTCCCAGCTCCCTGACTGGATGAACTAACTTTCAGAAGCAGGCTGTCATCTGAATTCAGCTGAAGGTTAAAGAATTCAAAATTCATTTTCCAAAAATGTTCAGCTAGAACCACTTTTTCCACACATTTCTGCCAATAAACCTCACTTGCTGGGATGGTGCTGGGAAGTGGTACAGACCTTGCTTATCGGCAGCTGGTGAGAAGAGGAATATGAAATGAATCCGAACACAGCAGGGACTGTCTTTCAGTTTGGTGTTTGCACAGTGCTGAGCACATGGGGCTCGGTTCTAAGGGGAACTCCTGGGCGCTGCCTCAGTGCAAATAATACATCAGAGAATTCCAGGTTGGCTTTTTTTAGTATCCACCTAACTCTTAACATAACTGATTCCCCGCCAAATGTATTCATAGCAAAAGAGTTCTGCTCTTTATTGGCACTGCTGTTGAAAATGAGACTTACACATTTGAAGAAGCCTCAGCTGTTTTTTTTTTTTGATTCTTTGAGTCAGGCTACAAAGTCCATCACCAGAGCCAATTAAGGATCTTGCAGGTGGAGGGTAGAGCAAAACTCAGACTGAGCTCAGATCAGCAAGCAAAAGATTATGGATCAATGGAGAGATCAGTGGGGTTCTGTATGCACAGAGGTGTTACACCAAGTGATCTGCAGAATCAGGGCTAAACCAATTAATAGCCGGGATCTCTGCCAGTACCCAGGACAAACATGCCACTTCCTTCCCAGGTTCAAATGTTTTCCTTCTGCTTTAGTTTGCTTAGTCCAGGGAGTCTGGGATGATTAATGGTAATGCCAGTTGTTTGGAAGGAGAGCAGTAGCTCTGCATTTGATTCCAAAGATAAAGAAAAGGACTGGAGATGCATCCAAACTGCCAAACGTTTTCTGCTTCCTTGGCTCTGTGAATTTTGATGACACTTCTTTATTCCCTTGCTCTGGCAGGCTGCCCTTGGTGGTGATGAGCTCTTATGGTTTAGGAAAAGCTGCTCAACATTTTGTTAACTCTGCAGTTGTTGGTATTACTTATGTCATGGCTCCTTTGTCCCCAACCTCATCCCCACCTGATGTACAGACAGTTTAAGGCAGCGACAGCACTAGCTCTGGATCTTAGGATACTTCTCTTCCCTCCCTCCAGCCCCGCTCCCTCCACCTTCCCCAAGCCCTTTGGAGCAAACGTTTAACCCAGCAGCACTGAGCAGGCAGTAGAGCCAGCTGTCCTGTCATTTCTTCCAGGACCACTGGAATCTGCCCCTTGGAGATGCTGTGCAATGTTGGTATTTCAGACCTGATGCTTCCAGCAATCAATCAACAACCCTCTCACCTCTGACGTTTTAATTACTAGGGCCCAATCTGTCATTGCCCCGCCCTCGGTGTAGTCATTCCCCTTCAGTGAGAGGTGGGTGTAAAGTGCTACGGCATAGACTTCAGCAAGACAGCATTTTTGCTCTGATGTGAAACACTGCACCAAATGCGAGATGATGATGATGAGTCAGGTTTCTAGAGCACAGGGGCAAAGGCTCAGCCTGTTTCTCTGACCAGGAGTTATTGACTCCAGCCCCACAGCTGACCCCTACCTTGCAGGAGACAGGAGCTTTAACCAAAATGAGATTCATCAATGCACTGCACACATCTTTGATGGTTCTCCCCAGCCATTCCCAGACTTTTATCTTTCTTTTCCCCCTTTTTCTAGTTTCCAAAAAATAAGCCCTCCGTGAATATAATTGAAGCGTGACAGCCTGCCATCAGCAGAGGGACTCCATTTCCCACTCGCCCTCTCTGCCTCTGAGCCCTGAGGACATGGAAGGTGAAGTATTGTTGGAGTGGTCTGGAAAGAGGCCTGTTGGATGCCAACGTCTGGCATAAAACTCCTTTTCCTCGCGCTGCAAGGACATCTGGAGAGAAAGGACAAACTTGCAAAAAACAAAATCTTCACTGTCTCGGGGGAGAAAAGCTTCTGTGAAACTGATGCCTCCGGTGATCCTATCCAGGACTAACAGCTCACCCAGGCTGTGACAGATCTCCAGTTGCATCCTCCACCCTCCCCTCTCCATCTCCCAGAGCAAGTCTCCTCACTTTGGAAACGTACAGGGGTTCATCCCACTTTTGTTCTGTTTTGCTGTCGCCACGTTTCAACAGTGCTGACACGAGCTCAGGCATCACTCGCCACATCTCCGCTTCGGAGTGACAAGGGGAGATGATTTCTCTCTAGATACAAGCAGCAGCAAGGACCTGGGCTGCTGTGAGCTCTGCTCTCGCTCCCTCCGATTCACGTTTGTTGTGTAACTAGTTTTGCAGGTGGGTTCTTAAGAAAAAAAGCAAAATCACAAAAAAAAGGCACACAACAGTTTCCACCTGGATGATCAGGACTGCTCTCCACTAAGGAGAGAGCTCTTGTCTCGGCTCCTGCTGTCTCTCTTACCCTTCGCACATTGTTATCCGCCTGGGAAAATCAGGGTGGAATCCCAAACGGTGCAGCCCAGCCCAGCCCAGCCCAGCCCAGCAGTGGCGAGGGACCAGAAGCTGTTGTCTTGCTCCTAGGATAACTTGAACCCTTTCTCCATGGTGTTTTACAACTGGGCCTGACTGAATCCACCAACAGCAGGAAAAACGCTCCATTAAAAATGTAGCCAGTTAGCAAAAAAGAAAAAAAGTCATGATAATAATGGTTGCTATGCAAGGTTCCCAGTGGTGACAGGTATCTCATTCATGCTGAAGGGTCTCTGCCTTACAGTGGCTGAGCACCTGGTTCTTTAACAAGCTGCTTCTTCATTGGGTCCAGTGCATAGGTCTGGTTCTCCCTCCATCTCATCTCCAGGATTCATGAAGACCTTGTATTGCCAGGTATCGGTTAGAGCTACTTCATAGCTTGAGGAAACTGATAAGAGGAAGGAGGGAGTCTCCTGTCCTTTAATAACTGCTTGATGTTTGCAATGTGACAGGTTCCCTCCAAGTGATGGTGCTTTGGGGGCTGCTGGGTGCAAGGCTGCCAAAAAGAAGAGGTTTACTATCTGGGTTTTGCCATCAGGCTTCTGTATTTATTCAGTCACACCCCAAGGCTGTTCCACACATGCGGGGGGAGGAGAGGGGCTTTTCACTGCCCTGTCAAAGCATGACTTAAGTCTCCTGGTCACAAGCCAACCTGCATTCAGGTTCAAAAGCTGCTGCAGAGAAACCGGTGGGCAGCTGCTGAGTTCGGACCCCTTCACCTGCCATAGCCATCAGCCTCTTCGAGGCCGCCGATCTGCGCAGGTGGTGTGGGGAAGTTTGCATGCAGAAGCTTTTCACAGACAAGGGCTTCCCCCGTGCCTATTTCAGAAGGTAGGGGAGCCCCACACAATCCTGTACACTTGATCCTCTGCAGAAAGACACTCCTCCCACCACCTAAACAGTGAGGTCAAGGCCTCTGACACAGCTAGAGCAATAACCACTTTTAATGTACAGTAACAGATTAAAGGCACATGTCATTTCCTTGTAAATACCTGAATATAGCAATGTTTCCTTTTGGTCTGCTGTGGCAGAGTGTATGAAGCGAAAGACAGGGACTTTCTATCTAGATTCCTGGGATTAAGAAGATGACTAATTTCTCCCTGTTTGGTTTTTAGGGAGCAGTGAAAGTTCAGTAAACAGGGGGTGAAGGGAAGGAAAAAGCTGCAAAACAAGTAGAGCTACAGCTTTGCTTAGGCAAAGCTTTGCTTCCTCCAGAAATGTCTCAGTTATCTTATAATAAATGGCAATCAACATCTATAACTTGCCTATAAAGGGAGACTTAGGACATATGGTACAGCAAGTGCAAAATGATGAAGGAGATGCTCTATTGTAACCTGCGAGCAGCCTGCCAAATGAGCAGACCCTACTCCCCAAGCTGCCTACCAGCATGGAAATTCAGCCTGGAGGGGGATGTTGGCAGGTTCGGGGTTGTTTTAAAGAGATGTTTCAGAAAATTCAGATAACATTCCTGATTTTTTGACAGTAATCATTGTTGTTTCCTAGTGACAGGCTCTGGCTATTTCTATTCCAGCAGCAACCCGCTCGCTCACCTTTCGTTAGGCAAAACTAACAGGAGGCAAAGCTGCTTGTTCAGAGTTAAGTATTCGCACCATGATGTGGCAGGCGGTAAAAGGGTGCATCATTATGTTCCATAACTGCAGGCTTTAAAGGTAAGGAATAATGCTATTAGCGAGAAAAACAAATGCTGGCTGGAAGCAACTTGACTCATAGCAGAGAGGATTTCCAAGCTTTCACAAGCAGTTGCCTCTCTTCAGGGATGTTTTTAGGAACTATAACATGAAGGGATGTAATAGGAATATACTTTAGGTACAGAGGGGAGAGAGAGACAGAGACCTAGGGTAACATTTTCAGATGGGCCTAAGGCTTTGATCCTCAAAGGTATTTAGTTGCCTAAATCCATGAGAATTAAGTCTCTAAGTAGCTTTAAGGGTCTAGACCTAAGTGACTTAGGATCCTAACTCTCATCTGCTTTCAGTGGGTCCTCAGTCACATAGGTGCTTTTCAGTAAGGAAAGAGGCACTGCTTTCCAAGAAACAAATCAGCAAGTGCAAAAAACCAGGTATGACCCAGGACAGGGATGGTCTTAAAGGATGCCCATGTTTTGCTTGACTGATGATTCTTGGCTATGTGCTGGAGGCCATCACGCCTGGTGAGTGCAAGTTTTACTGAAAAGTGAGGAACGAGTGGGAGTGCGCTGGTTCAAAAGCATTTCCAGAGAGCCTCAACGAGAACTGAATTTCCACTGAACACAAAATCAAAGCACAGCAAACATCCGAGCAGGTCTGCTGATGGCATGCAGTCACTGACGACTAATTCAGCTGATTTCCAGGAACCATTTAAGCAGAGGCTAGGTGCACCATAAGGAGCAAGAGAGAGAAAACAGGATCCCTGTGCTGGCGTACGTGTAAAATTAAGCACCACTTGCCTTTATTCATTAAAGCACAATAATTTTGCACCTGTATGCACCAATTTAGCACCAATTTAGTCAATATATTCCTCCCCCACATGGTCTAGTTCAGAGAAACTGAGCTACAGGAGGCGATGTGGAGCAAACAATCCAACTCAGCATGCCCCTCCAATTCAATACACTAATTGCTGTAGCTTTCCTAGTCACTTCCCTCTGTACCCTAAGAAATAGCACAAACTCTGTTCCTCTGCTTCTTTGAGAGAAATGAGAACATCAAGTATTTCATCCACTGACAGTTCAATAGCACTGGAGGAGAAAACACCTACACGCTCAAAAGTGTTAGTATAATCTCAGCTGGTAATGGCTTTCTGGAGGAGATGTAAATGGAGAGAAACAGACTGTTAATGCTAGTATTTGCCTAAGACATTAAAGGTTATGCCACTCAAAAGTGTGCATCATAGCCACACATCCATTTCCAAGATATCAAATATGGCCCTTCATTGATTGAATAGTCAGACATGAGATCCAGCAAGGAAGGAATGAAGATTACACCGTATGTTCAACCAAAAGTAATTTCCCTATGTTTGCAATAAATCTTACTCTTTCAGTATAATGAGCTATTATTGATTTGCCAATATATAGATCACTGACAGGCAGGCAAACTAACCAAATTTGGTAGATTTCCTAGCGCTTGTTAATGAACTGTTACGATCAGCAAAGGGACTGTGAAAACACCGTTTCCTCTACAGATCTGCTCTTGGTTTGTATTCAGTTATATCTGCCAACCTTATAGATTAATGGAAGCATGTTCCTATTCTTCTTGGGCCTTTTAACCCACACATTTATGGGAGAGCAAGCTGGTGTCTATTCCAGCTTGTGCATCATCATTAATTTTGTTTAACTAAGTTCTAAATGCAGAACTCTTATAATCAGCGACAGAGCCAGGAAAGCCACAGCTTGAATTTCAGATCCCAGATGGAGTCAGCAGAGCTGGCAGCTAGGAGAGCCATCTTTTTCCTTGTGAACTGAACACATTTTGATGTGGAGTGGTTGGGAGGCAATAACAAGGGAGCCCCACAATGCCATTTTACAATTCTCGACACATCACTATCCTTTTAAACTAACAAGGAGAAACTTACTTGGCACCACCCATGGCGAAAACGTAACCTATTTATACTGAAGGTGCCCTTTCCTCAGAGGGTGCAATTGATACGATAGTTTATGTGCCCCTAAACCAGGGCAGACTAGCCACTGCCAGCAAGGATTACAACGCAATGCTCTTATTACATCTTAAATTGGAAAATAGTTCATCCGAGAGCCCATGTCTTTCTTCATGTGTGTACGATGCCTTGCAAAATGGACTCCTCCAATCCACACCGAGTCTGCTGGGCCCCGCCATACAAGACATAAATAGTAATATGGCCCCTAGCTCCATTCCAGTAGTGAACACATCATTTGTCCTGCCATTAAGCACCTCTCTCTCTCTCTCTTTCCCTCTCTGCCCTTGCAGTGCCTCTGTAGTTCAGTGTGTATTAATCACTATTATAATGTCAAAGAATGAAATCTTTTGCAATAAGGCTGTCCAAGAATCCTTTTGAATCTTGACAAAAGGCAAAGCTGCCCCACAGAAGCTCTGGTTCGCGGTACAAACACACAAAGATCACAAAGCACAGATACCAAAGGAAGTCTTCTCTTCTCCAGCACAAGGGAGCCAGTCCTAGACGTAGCACATATTATACGGACACCACCACACTGATGAGAGAAAGACTTTGTAGTGTGCTGCTTTTTCACTTTCTCAGCATGGCTAGCTGGCATTAGAACACCTGCTTTAGAAAAAGGCTAATATAAATACTGTTCTGACTGCTGTGTACAGTTTAATAGCTGCTGCACCAGCAATGTATAAAAACCAAGAGGGCTGTAGCATGAAAATCTTTTTATGCACAAATACTGCACCTGAGCATCCAGTGTCTACAGGAACAGCTTGTTTGTGCCCTTCCACCTCTCTACCCCTGCTCTGTCATGCCATGACTGAATGCCAGTGATCATCAATCAGTGGCTGAGACAGGGCTGCAGTGTCTTGGCAATGCCTTGCCAAACTCAGCCTGACTGCAGCAGCAGCAGCCAACCCAAATACTCCATCTTGGCCTTTCAGGAAAGAGCAGTGTAGTGTTGGCTTCAGATCCAATAGGCCCTCTAACAGAGAGGCTACTGCCCACATCTCCAAGGTACGTGGGCTCTGTGATCAGACTCAAACTACTGTGGACCTACTTTCTTTTACCTTTCCAAACTGCCTAAAGGAAAGTTAATTGAAGAGAAACCCTGACCCATCTTTATTACAAATATAAGGAGCAGATACGATTTTCAGACATGGCAACAAACTGCACAGCGCAGGGATCTGCCCAACAAGCCCACCCCCAAATAATCCTGCTTCGAGAGATGCACAGCTTATACCTGGAACTCACTGGTTTATCGGATGATAGCCACCATACGAATGGTGCTAACACACTCTCACCAATCCAGGCAGTAGCTACCAAGTGATATTACCTTCTCAGTCTAGGCAAGGTTCCCAACCAGTGGGATTTGCAGTGTTGAAATCACAAGATATGCTAAATTAGTCCCTGGGACATGTCTTACTGGAGAGATTTTCTAGAGATGCATGATTCAGTTGCTGACATGCCCTTAAAACTGGGATCACTCCTACCCCAGTATATACCAACCAGTGGAAAACGGACACTTCTTCTAATAGCCTTCTTGGTACAGCATGGTGGCAGTGAGAGTGTTGTATCTTGTTAATGAGTGCAGTATTATCTAGTAATTAGAGTGGTGTGGGGGGAAAATTAGGTTCTACTCTTGATGCCACTACCAATCCACAGTGTGTCCCTGGGCATATCACTGAACCGCTCTGTGCCTCACTTGCTGCTCTTATAAAATGGTGATTAACCCACCTTTGCAAAGTCCTTAGAGACCCAGTATTGAAAGGCACAGGAAATGCCCCTAATGTTAGACCTAGACTTTGTAACTTTAAATGACATTAGCCCAAACTGTCATGAGATAATCTGATAGAGAGAGACCTTGGGAGCTTAGCCAAATGGTTCTCACTTGTTCAACATTTCATTCTTGTCGTTTTTGCTGCCAGCTGCTAGAGTGAATACGGGTTTGAATTTGGCTCAGTGACACTATTATTTCATGTACTGCACTCAAATATCATCCCCCGCTGTTTATGGACTTGCTTTGTCAAGGCTTCACACACAGCAGTTCGGTGGAACAGTTAGAGAGCCATTAAGTGCATATTCTACAATACAGTAGAGAAGAAATATTGTTACACACAAAGCTACCACGGACCAGACTGAATTCATAACCAGTAGTTCTCATCCAGTATATCCCATGGCAGTGAAAGCAAGAAAAGTCTAAACAAACACCGATGAATAGACAAAAACTGGTTTAGAGAAATGGAATAGAAGTGTGCCTGGGTATGAGATAATCTCTTCTGTGAAGAATGTGCCTAAAAGGTGACCTCCGAGATGGATCTCACTGCAGTTATTTATTTTTTTTGCTTTAAAACACGCAAAATGGTTGACATCTATAGTTTGGGGTCGCACAGTCTGTATTATTGTACAGTATGATCAGCCATACCACTATAGAGTTTTATTTCTACTCACTGGGTAAGATGACAGACACCAGGACGACTGGAGTTTAAGGAAGCCAATGTGTGTCTGAGAGAATTTAAATACAATTGTAGTTAGGTTGTTCTTTCTCAGGGAAGTTGAGTTTTGCTGCTAGGGTACTAAATTTTTCTTCCCCATCATATCAAAGATTCAGTTAAGCTGCCAAAACTACAGGGAAACATGGGATGCAACAAGTAAACATGGGATACCTACATGCAGATTTATTCCATCACTGCTGAGACTTATGAATACAACTACTACGCTTGTTTGTAGGGGAAGTGGTGGTATGCGATATGCAGCTGGACAGAGGCCCGGGCCTTTCACTCCCTTTGCCATATTAAGACCACAATAGATACAGCAATATGGAATCCGACTGATGATGAGGCACAGAGAGCTGCTCTGCCAGCCATTCCATGTTTGGTTGTTAGGCTTTTTAATGTCCCTGAAGTAGTTTGTATGAGATGACATGTCACTATAAATTTATATAAATAATGTATATGAGAGTCAATGTATTGAATTCAATAAAACAATCTTCACTTTTCAGTCTTTGGTCAGGCTGTCAGTGTGTCATTCACACACAGATCCTCAGTACCACACAGGGCACACCAAGAACTACTACACACCCTCAGCAGCAACACATAGGGGGTGCATGTGCACCCCTTGAGAGCACCGGTGCACCCTCTGACTGGCCACACTCGCTGCTTAGGTGATGTGCATGGGGGCAAGCGGGAGTGCCAGTGCTCCCCCTCCAAGCTCCGGCCAATTGCTGCAGTCACTCCTAGAAGTGGCTGCAGCGATTGGCTGTTGTGGGATGAGCTGTAAGGGTCCCCCCTGAACAGCAAGATCGGCCACAAAGGGAACCCCCACAGGTGGCAAGACTGGTCATAGGCCCCCCTCAACTAAGGCAGCACCAGCCGCCCATGCATATCCTGGAACACTTGGGGATGCAAGAGTAACAAGATAGCCACCAGCTCCAGACTTTCCTGTTAGGCCATTATGATGGAGAAACCTGAAGCTTCCTTCACAACTGCCTCGAGTTGGTTCACCTGGTTTTCCTTCTACTGCCCCAACCTCTACTTAGTCTTCCTAAAGAACCGGCTTTTGCTAGGAGGGCACACTACCTGCACAAGCCCAGTCAACTGTTGATATTAAGAAGGATCTCATGGAGAAGAACAGTCAACAGGTTGACAAGCTGTACACTTTGCAGCTAGGCATGTTCAAATAGTAATGAGAGTGAAGAAAGGGTGAAGAGACTGCTGGAGGTTGGCTGTAACTATCTTGGTTGGGTTAGTTTGTTAGGTTATATAAAACTGCATAAGAACTGAGGGATGGATATGGCAGAAAATAGTTAGGCGAAGCCCTCTCGAGATACAGGCCCTCAGATTAGGGCTATCCAACAGTTGGAAGGAGGGGAAAGTTGAGCATTTCAGGGCACCAGACGAGGAATGCAGGTAGAGAAAGTTTGCAGCTTAGCTGCAATTGCTAGAGTATTAAACAGGACGCAAGACTGTAAGAAACGGCAGCAGGGAGGATCTACCAACACAAGAGCACCCACCCACTTAGTAACAAGCAAGACACATTCAAAAAGGTGCAAAATATTTATAACACTATCAACAAAGTGCAAATCTAAACAGAACATTTTACAAAAAAAATGTTAAAAAAAAATACAACTACAAATGAAGGAAACCAACACAGAATCAAAGAGATCTGAAGGAAAAAAAACCTGAAATAAAAGACAAGCAGTTCAACAATTACTTTTAATTAATGACTATGTGCAATGTCACTCCAGGACTCTCCCTAGGTCAAGCATAAAGAAGTAGTCACCTACAGAGCTGCTTTAAAAATGTAACACTATCCAAAGATTCCCCACTCTAAAAGAGCATCATACAGATACTCCCACTGAAATTTCCCAGCCTTTGGTCAGGTCTGACAAGAGAGTCCCCCTTGAACGCAGGTAACCTTTGCCTGTTTTAGCAGCCGTTATTTCATTTCTAAGACAACACTGATAAATTGTACCAGAAGTTACCAGTATGAAAAACAGATCACATTCAGAATTTAACTGAAAATGAAAAAAAAGAGAGAGTCAGTCTCCAGACATATGAAGCCCCCAAAACTGGGCTTATTAAAAACAGATCACTAAATAAGCAATCAAGTGGCAGAGGTAAAAGACAGGACAATTAAAAACAACTACTGGTAACTGCAAGGGGGAAAAAAAAAGGAAAGAAAAGAAAAGATAGTCCATCAAGTAGGCAGGTCAGTCGTTAGCAGAGCCCATGACAGGGCTACGCTGGAAGTGGTCAGGAATGCTCTGGAAGCGACGGTAGTTTGCCGAGTTCTTGTTCACCCACTGATTAAGGCTGTATTTTTGGGTAGGTTTCTTGGAGAACCGTGGGTAATTTCTGCAAGAACAGAAGGGGGAAGAAAGGAGAACAGAATGAATTAGGGCAGGAAGCACACATGCAAGCGCTGAAGGAACAGCTACTGGTCTGCAGATATGTTCCCAAGCCCAGGGGTTTGCAGACACGCTTCTATTGTTACTGGATTTTAAAAAGGGGAAAAAACCCCCCAGTTATCTAATGAATCCCCCTTGGCAAGGAATGATGGTAAACTATCCAAAGAATCTCTTCCAGGAGCTTTATCTAATGCTTTCTCAGATTTCCACAAAAACCGTGCATGTCCATGGTCTGCCGGAGAAGTCTGTAGGTGCCCAGCACCTGACAGTTAAAAAGGAAGTGAACTCCCTCTAGAAGTTGCCATAGCCAGAGAACACATTTTGCCAAAGCTGACAGCATTAAACAAGCAGCTTCAAATCATCTTCCCACCATGCCTTTAAAAGACCAATTCTACTTGAATCAACTTGCCTGTAACCTGCTCTTAGTGGCTGGAAAACAAAGCTTCCCCACTGTCAGATGCTGCTTTGCCAATTCAGCTCTTTGAAGAAGAGCTGCTGCTGCCTTTTCTTTTTCTTGTTTGTGCAGCGATATCAACGGGGCTCAGGAAATAGTATTTATTAACTGCAAGGACAAATCGGGGCACAAGGCAATGGCTGGGGGCACTCTACAAAAATACTGACCGTATAAAATAGTTATTTAGAAGGAGCACCTGGCTTGCTCATGGTGATTCACATCAACACCGAGAACCTTCAGTTCTCCATCAGTAGCTCAGCAAGTTTCTAACCAAACAGGCTTCAAACTGTAACACAAGCTGGGGTTACCAATCCTGGCAGACTGGTGCCCATATAACAGGTCACCATCACACCACACTCCCATGTCGAAAGGTTAAGTCCTAACTGGATCATGGTGATGGAGCCATGTCCTCCCCGAGTCTCTCCAAGTCACAGTTACACTGGGAAGTGAAGAACTACTCCCCAGCACTTGGGCTGTCTCTATTCCCATATTTTCTCATATAAAAAACACACAACCCCATAGCTCTTAAAAAGTGTCAGCTGATCTTTCAGCCCAGAACAGAAACTCCCCTGATTTGATTCCTGCTCCAAAAAAAAAAAAAAATCAACCACCCAGCAGCAGCAGCAGCAGCAGCATCTCTTTTCAGGCAGTGGAGGGAGTCAATTGACTTCATGTCTTACTGTTCTTCATTCTACAGGTGTTAATGACCATCTCTCCTTTTTAATGGTCTTGATGTTCCTCTAGTCAAAAGAAAAGTTGATTATCTGCTGGTCTCTCTTCCCCTACTTCACAGCCTTGCAGACTCTTTAGCTGTCCCTGCTCCATACAGTTGTCATACTGGAAAAAAAGCAAAAAACTTCCCCCCCCTCATTCTTCCTTCCCAGAAACAAGATGTATATTTTATTCTGGGAGTGAGGTAAGTGAGCAAATACAGTATTTGGCTTGAAGCTTAATGGCCAAGGTGCCAAGTCTCTCTGATGAGTATTTTACTTTTTTCTGAACAGATATTTAGCATCTGGAAGAACTTCCTTTGCGAACTATAATCATTTCAAAGAAAGAGGTCAGTGATTAGTTCTCAGATCAGTAAAATCCTCTGAGGAATTTCTAAGTAAGAAAGAAAGAAAGAAAGAAAGAAAGAAAGAAAGAAAGAAAAAGAAAGAAAGACGTTCCTGAACAAGACAATCCAATGGGAAATGAAGTAAGAAGAGCTTTCCTCTGGCCCTGTCCCCTTACCACAATTATGAGTACCATACCTCATTGTGAGGTCCAATGCATGCTTCCAGCTTTGGTCATGGTTCCTGTTCTTGCTGGCAATGTTACTCAACAGAGCATGACATTCCCCTAAAGTACCTGCAATTCAGCAAATCAAGCAGTTAATGGGAGATCAAGCATGTTACACGGGCTGGATAAAAGCAAAGAACTGTGAACTGACTGCTGATGCTGGTCCTGGTTCTCCAGAAGGATCTTACACTAGGAGACGGGGGGCCACAGAGACTGTAAGCCCATCAGTAGACCCCCTTTTCAGGGACACTTGGGAGACACTTTCTTGGATTGCAGATATCTGCTGCCACCACACATAGGATGTCACTTGTCAGAAAGCTCCCCACATAATAGGCTCCTTGCTGCCCTGATGGCCTGCTGCACTGATCCAATAGCACGCTTCTATAATCCAGGTACAGCAAATGTCTTCATTCACAATTATTTAGATCTGAAAAGGAGTTCCCTCTATTGTTAATGATCTCACTGCCAGTGTTATCTACTGCATACAATAAGCCCCTTCATTAAAGGCAGCTGTTCTACACAGGTCTCCTGCTGTGAATCCTTCCCAAAATGATGCAATGGATGGACTGGCAAGGTACAACAGTCCCTGTGTCCAGGAAATAAGCTAGTAGCTCAGACTTTTTCTGCAAAGCTTGTACTTTTGCCCACTCCTCACTTCAGGATCTGGCAGTTCTGGCTGAGATAAGTGCGGTGAACTCTCTACTTAAACCTCTCTTTGAATGTTGCTGTCAGGCTTCTGCAAACAATGGGATTTTTTTCCACCTCCTTAATCCCACGACTGCAGTGACATGAGGTGTGGCTCTACATGAGGCTTCTCTCTCCTTTCTACAGGATCTTGCTGTTTCTTAAATGAGTCTCTATGGAGTGGTCCCCCCATCTCCTTTGATGGAGAAGCAGTTTTCAATTAATTGAAGGGGTTCTCTCCCAAGTCTGAAAGACGACTAACCTCCTGTCAAAAGGACCCCTTCCTCGAAAGGACTTCCTGACAAGTCCAAGATCCCATGCAGGTAGCAAACAAGTAATAAAATGCAGGCTCTTGCCACCCACGTTTCAAGACAGCTCCCTTTGATACCAAGTCATTTCAAACTATTTGGAGAAGTGAGTGGAAGATGTGCGATTTCTTCCAATATCATAAGCACTTCCCAAGAGTTCAGGTTTTCTATGCAGGACTGTCTACACCTACTTGGAGCTGCAGTCAAGCAGAGACAGGAGACAAGGTGCAGTCAAGCAGAGACAGGAGAACAAAACCCGGGGACAGACAAATGCTTGTCCAAGAACTGCTGCAGCAGTCTCACTTCTCCCAGCTACCATCCCAGCAGTGGAGAAAAGTGGAAGCATTTTGATCAGGCATCTGCCCCTAGCAAAGCCCAGTGTGCTAGGGGTGGCATTAAAGGTTAATGTTAAAAGCTGTTTAGCCTGCTCTATACCAGAGTTTCTCAACCTGTGGGTTGCAAGAATGTATGACAGGATCCTGAACAAACTTTAAAAATGGATTCTCCTTTGAAGGAGAAAAACCATGGGAAATCCATGGCTTTTCCCTTGCAGGCTGGCAGAGCTCCAGCCTGCAAAGGGCTGCTTGGGGCCCCCCATACCCCACACACCCACCCCCTGCCCCACACACTGGGGGGCTGGGACATGGGGGTAGCAGGTCAGGAGTGAGGGGCACTGGCAGAGCCAGGGGGCTGTTTTTTACTTAAACTATTTACTGGGTTGGGACTGATCATTGATGTTTACAAATGGGTCCTGGTACAAAAGAGGTTGAGAATCGCTGCTCTTTAAATCACCCATAGATGTACCATCAGGGTACCCTGTTAAGCTGCTGTCCTTCTGGCTTTACTTTGCTCTGTGCCAAAGAGAGATCAGAACCTGATCGTAATTGGTTTTTTTCCTACAATAGAAATTGAGATTTTTCCATGAAGAAATTTTTAGATGGATTCTCCCCCCACCCCACAAAGTTCTTCTGGCTATTAACTCCACCCCAAACTCCACCTTACCCACTGCCAAACAAGCTTTTCTATACTGTGAGGCATCTCAAAAGCTGTTGCAAAGCAGGCCACATTTTAACAGAATACTTGTCTTATTAACACCTCCCCCACCACTCACAAAAACAGGAACAACCTCTCCTTTCAATTGGCGACTGCAGCAAATGCCATCCTAGAAAGGCAACCTTAAGCAGTCATTTAAAGTTTGCAGCTGCCTTCAACAGCTGAACACAAGGGCCAATACCATGCAACTAACTAATTCTTCACATTACTAGTAATTTTGGCAGGGGGAGAGAGGGGCCCATAGTAGAAAGAATTCATTGCACCTTCTTAGAAGCATGTACTCATTGGTACTGGGACCTCTTAAACCTGGGGTGGGCAATTATTTTGGACGGAGGGCCACTTACTGAGTTTTGGCAAGCCATCGAGGGCCGCATGGCAGGCAACCAGGGGCAGATAAATATTAATTTTCTAAATTTTTTAGGGGCCCCGTGAGCTGGATAGAATGGCCTGGTGGGCCGCATCTGGCCCCCAGGCCACATTTTGCCCACCCCTGCCTTAAACAGTTCAATAATGTTTTTACTTCTAGTGCTATTGAATCCAATGATCTCAGTGATTCTGTGAGCAGTAAGGATCATGACCAAGTACAGCGAGGCCAGAGAGAAAACACAAAAGTGAAGCAAGTTGCCATATTCATTGTGATTTGACAGGTGTATTCCATTCCCCACCTCTCCCAAACAGCTAAGGTATCAGGTTATACACATTTAGGATCAGATTTTCAAGGAAATTCAAACCTAGGCAGCTCCAAATGTTCTCAATGGGAGCTTTTGGATCTGGGGCTCTGCAAAGTCAGGTCAGTAGCCTAAAAATTCCTTTTAAAACCACCAGCCTTTGTAGTTTCTACTGCATGTGGCTTCCCCTTAGAGAAGCTTTTGCCTTCATATTCCACAGGAGTTTCTGCCTTTGCTGGGGATGCATATTTGACTCTATTATGAAGCAGCCAACTCCTGGAAGCTCCTCTACTCTAGAACACAACTCATCTTGCTGTGAGCAGCCACTTCCCTTATTGGCTTTACAAACATCAACCATACTCCCTGGTCTCCCTACTAGAGATGAGACTTTAGGGAGGCAATTCCGTTAATTTTAATGGATCCGTTCAAACTGATCCCTGGGTTTGGCTATACCAAGGGGGTACCTGACTCAGGACAGCTGAGTCTAGACCCTAGATCTTGTCCCCTCCCACAACATTATAGCCAAATGGAGGGAGCCCCAGTAAATCAACAATTGCCTCTTTCCTCAGCTAGCTCAATTCCAGCCAAAATGAAAGGAGGCGTTTCAAGACGGACATAGCCATGGCAGCATTCATTTCTATGTTCTCTCTTTATTTCTCCCCAAATCCCTTATGTTGTTGCACTTCATCTCTCACAACACTTCCAAAAATCTGCAATATGCTATTTATTAGTCTTAACCAGTGTTGTTCAACCTATGGATGTGTTATCCAGCCTGCAGGGTTCCCCATGGGTCCAGAAAATTGGCAGCAGGTGACTGGTGGCAGTGTCAATTGCTGCTGTGTCTTTAAGATACTAAATAAAACCAGGTCTTAACAGATCCCCACGACACCTGACAAGGTGGATCTTCCTCTTCCCATCATTTCCAGAACAGTAATGAACAAGTCCCCCTCCAAAAGGAGGGAGCCCTCATTCTAGGACTTGGATTTTGCATCAACCTGTCCTTGGAGAGAATCTGTAATAGAAATTTGCTTGAAAAACCCTTCCAGAAAGAAGTTACTCCAGACCCAACTAGAAGAGCTAGCGTGGCTTCCCAGGTACATCATAAATACAGGACTGGACTCAACGTTCCCAGTCCAAATGGCGCCATGGAAGTTGTCTGAGCAGCAGGTGGTGCAAGCACTACTGGACATGCACAATTACAGAGTTAATGACCTGCAAAGGCAGATTTACTGGAGTACAGAGATCCGGGCAAAAAAGCAAGAGAAGGATCCAGTGAGGAGGGGAAACTGCTTTCCCCATTAAGTTTGTCCTTCACTTGTCCTTTAAAAAGTAGTCCTCAGCTACATCTCCCTTATGGGCCCAGACTAACAACAGCATTGTGTAGCACACTGTGCCAAGAGCCATATAATATTCAACTCAAGTTACAAAAATAGGAGCCTCATCAGTAGTGATGATTGAGAAAAGACCAACCAGAATCACCAATGAGAAGCTCATCAAGGAGGATTTCATTCTATTTAGGTTTGAATAAAGGGCAGTAATGAAGTGCGAATACCAACAAGCGGTCAGCTGGCAGATTTCTTTTGTGGTCAACTATTAGCAGTTCCAGCCAGTCATTTTGGAACAGATGTTCAAATCACATCTCATTTTCACGGGCTCTAGGACCCAGTCCCAGCAGCATTTAGATTCATGTGGAAAGCTGCAAACGAGTCTATTCATTCAGAGTGACTACTCCCCGCTTCCTGAGGGCAATGCTGACAATCAAAGCCACTGGTTGATTTTTCACTAGTCTCTTCACTTAAAGTGGTCAGGCTGGAAGAGTTACACCTCCCCCCATGCTCACTGCCCCCCTCAGCAAAAAGAGGCTTCCTTCAAGCTATTCAGTGCACAGGCATGACATGGTTTGTAGTGATTGCAGACTACTTTACTTGTAAGTGGTTTTAACCTATACAAGCATGGGAAAGTTGAATTTGTGTAGCATCAGCAATGTGTTAGGTGCAACACAGATGAGTACAAGATCCCTCCCCAGGAGCAGACATACATACGAAGGATAGGAGATGCAGTGCAAAGCAGTGCAGGGAAGAAGAGTGAAGTTCAATGCTACCACAATGCAAGTGATAAGTGACCCAAATATACAGGACAAGTCTAACAAGATTGGTGGCAGTAATAAGGTACCAGTACGCTTTCTAGTCACCTGCTTGGTTACCACTTTCCAGGAAGAACCAAATCAATGGATGGTTGGCTTTGAAGCCTATATTCTGTTTGAAATTACTCAAAACCCCTATATGTTCTGTGACTTGGTAGAAGAGCAATTATAAATTCTTGCTAGATTTAAGGGTGTGCAGAGGGAGGTAAAATTGAGGATCAAACCCAACCTATTAAGCAGGTACTCCTAGGCCAACTGGAAAAAAACCTCCCTGCTTGTTGAGATAACAGAAGTTTGGACTAATAATAAAGGTGTGCGTGTTACATGTAATAATCTTCCTTGGCAAAATGGAGCTTTCAGCTCAGCCACCAACCTCATTCATCAGGGGCTCCTGCCGGACATGCTATGACTCACAACATACGTCTTGCATTTTTCATTCGAAAGGAAGGAAAGACAGATCAGATTTAGCTTCCCTCACATGGCCCCCTCTGCATTACTTATGCCATATTCATACACTGGAAAGCAGCCCTGTGGCGATGCAGCTGTTCGCACCGCCCAGATAAGTGGAAGTTCCATGTGATGAGCAGCACGACTCTCAGTTTTGTAGAACTCTCAAGAAATGACAATTTGGGAAGAGCCCAAAGAATCCACTTGGTTTGAGGCCATCTCTGAAAGCTGATGGATCCTCTTTAACCTCACGAGTTTCCACCCACAATCCCTTTAAGCTCTGCTCTTCAGTCAGTCAAGCCTGTTTTTTCAAGGGGGATTTTTCTTTTTAACAAGTCAGTAATAGACTTTGAATGACCCATTTAAAAGGGGAACAGTCCAAGAGGCCTGGAATTGATTAGCAAGAGCTGCAAGTCTTACCTCTTGGCATTCAAGTTCAAGATTCCATAGCTCCAGGTCCAACCAGGCAGACAGAAGAGAATGGTCTCCCTACCTTAGCACCACCAGAGCTGAGAACTCAGGTCCTCCTCTCCCAGTTCATAGGCAACACAAGTGCTTTGCTGCCCAAAGTGCCAAAGTACAACAGCATGCATGCACCACCACATGACTCAGATGCATGCAACCTTCCTGCTTACCACAGCTCTTGTGAATATTACTATACAGGACCTTTGTGCAACCAAGACCCTGGAAGTGAAGGTGATGCTACTCCTAGTACTGCCTGCAAGCAAGGGCCTCTGAGCCAGCTTTACAGAATGCAGCCTAAGTGTATTGCCAGCTCTCCCCAGCACCGTACTGCAACCTTGAGCTGTAGGTTACCTGACATAGGATCCCTGGGAGTCCTTACGTGATAATGCACGCACTGAATATAGATTCGCTTCCTCTGCTCAAGCTCTGCTTCAGAAGTGTACAGCTGTCGCCTCAGCCTTTAAATGAGAGAGAGACAACATTAGCTTCTCAGAAGGACCTGCCAAGCAATGGTACACGCAACAAACAGATCTGCCTTATAGCTACACAGACAACAAGCTCCTCAAAGCACTATTCTTCTGGACTCGTTAGCTGGAAGGAGGACTCTGGAGAAGCTTCAGAAAGGTACTTCTGGAGAAAACAGGAAAAAGAGAGCCAGCCAAGAGATCTGGCAAGGCATTCCCAGGATCAGGGAAGTTCAACATCTGCACTGTCCCCATTAAAGGAGAGAACATCACCAGTTACACAAGGCCCCTTTGGGAATGAGAATGATGAGGAATATCACATCTCAGTGGAGTAACATCAAGAGCTGAAGCAGGTGCAATGAATCCAGAGCTTCAGACAGTAGTACATTAGTGAGTAAGGAAAGATGGAGCTTTCCCTCTCTCAGAGAAAGCCTTCTTGTCCACTTTGACAGAGAGCTTCCCTCCCTATTTCCATGAGCTGCGTTGTTGCTGCCATCTGCTGGAACCAAAGGGATAAAGTGCCATGGGACTCTCAAACACTCGCAGCATGGACCATTCTGACAGCATCTCAAATACTTCCTCTTCCATTCAGGGCAGCTTAGATCCTCTGTCTTTACAAGTCACCCATAAGGCAAAACCATCCTAATTCCATTTAACTATCTGCATGTCTTGTAATGCAACTTAGCAAAAGGAAGCCAGAAGAGTTAGCACCATGAAACAAGCCAGTTCTCCATAGATCAACACTGAGCTAAGGTAGCCAGAAGCCCATAAAAACACTACCTGTTTTCCATCTGTGGCACAGGAAGGACTTTGCCTAGCTTCTTCCCACTGGGAGCCTCTTGTCCACAGCTCTGGCCCAAGATTACAGAGTTTAACTGGACAGAGGAGGGAAAAAGTTAAGGCATATCAAAATATACACATTTCTTACTTATTTATATGTATTGTGCACCTGTGTGTGCACTCAGGCAGTTACTGATCCCAAAAGCGCAATATTTATAAGAGGAAGTGCCCGTGTCACCCCCCCCAGTGCCCCTGTGCTCTGTTTCACAAATTTATAACATGTCGCTGCAACCACTGCAAGACAGCTTTGAAAGTGTGACGTGTTTATAAAGCAGGGTTGAGATAAGCCAGTGCTGCCCAAGGTTTTTTCCACAGGAAAGAGACCAAGTGTTTTGTTTACTTTGAGATTGTCTGTCAGTTCAGACACTGAAGACTCTTGCCCCAAATCCTCCGTTTGGGAGCCAATGTTCTTCAATAAGCCACCTTCTGTTGATTTTGGAGGGTCCGGGTTTAAGGCACTACTAAAGGCTTTCAGATGCTGTAGCAGTCCTGGTGCAGAATTGTCCACGTCATCCTTACTTTGGTCACAGGCAAGGTCAGGTGAGGGTGTGGAAGTTCCCATGGGTGCACTGCAGCAGCCAAATGATTCTTGGATTTCTACTGGTGGATTTTCCACACCATTTGCATCCAGACTGTGCTGAGCTGGAAGGTCTGGTGCCTCTTCAGGAGCCAGGCTATTACAGCAGATTTCATTATCCTCTGTGCTACTTTTATCTGCATTTTGTAAACCATTTCTTATTACTTGCACAGTTGCTTTTTCAGTTTCCTCCAACACATCACCCCCTTTCACCTGAGCTACAGAGACAGCATCAATCAGGGTAACACTTGGAAGTTCCTCCATCCCACAGTCAAACAATGTGCCAGTGATTTGGCTCATTTTCAAGCAGTCTGCACTCAAGTACTTTTCACAGTTGGGATTTGCAGTTTCCTTGTCCAGACCAGAGCACCTAGAACTAGCAGAAGAGCATGTCCAGGAGGTAGACGCATCATTTAGTACCTCCTCCTTGGTCCCTGATGTCTTTGCATCTTTGGGTACCCCCGAGTCCCAAGTCCACCTACTTTTAATTGTCTCCATATTTTTTCCACCTACTTTTACGTTGAATAGAGCAAACTTGCCAGAGGTATATGGCTCAGGTTCTAAGTCATCATCTGCCAAGAGCTGCTGGATCTCCTCCTCAGTGTAACTACAGGAAGAGTCCTCTTGTTCACTGTCTGTTGGTTCCAGCAAGGAATCATCAAGCATACTATCATCAAAACACCTGGTTGTATCTAGAGAAAGGACCACAGCACTATCTTCCATCAGAGAAGATCTGTTAACAAGGCTTTCTGCCTCGGCATCATCCAGGCAGTGAGAGGATGCCAGGAAGCAGGCAGAATCTGGGGAACTTAGCAATAGTTTCTCCAATGGACATGGAGTGTTGCAGTAATGATTCAGCTGGCAACGTTTCTTAGTGGACTCCTTGGGCTGAGCTCCGTCTGGAGAATGCACGGGCCTTTTGGCTCCGGGCACTGGACTGTTATCAAGTTCATGAGATAAGCCAGGGCCCAAGGACTGAGAAGAACAGCTTGTCATGATGCTGTTGGGCTCTGTATTTCAGTGATCCACTGCTTTCTGCTCTGAAGCAGTGTCTGCTCAGTCCCAAGCAGCTGATTATGTGCTCTCTCTTTCCAGAGCATCAATCACAAAATGGCTCCCACCTGCCTGCAAAAAGAAAATATCAAGAGTAATTAAAGAAAATCTCTCATCTGTTCTTACCTCAGCTACAGTTACTCCTTTGCCAGCCGTTTCCCTTTGCAAAAGTGATGCCCCCCCTCTCCTGCCTAGGAGAGGCAAAAATTGGATTTTCACTTAGCACAGAGCACCTAACGCTTATCCTTCAACTACTCGCTTTGAAATCAAGGATGCTCTACAGTCTGACACTGAAGGAAAGACTGTCTCTTCCTTTGTTTGCTTTCTAACATTGTGTACTTCTCTTAATCACATTTACATCTTTTGGATACAGCAGCAAGAGAACAGCTCTACTAGAATCCATCCTTGATTGAAACAACCCAACATTTAAAGACCCCTGGTCTTTGCTGTATCTGCTCCTGGCCTTTATGGCTTATATAAACACTAACAGAGGAAGATATAATAGAATAAGTTTGCTCAAGGTACTCAAACATGAGGTAGAAAGAAAGGCTGATGTTCTAGCAGCCAATCTGTCATGCAAAGAGGGGCTCTTGGGAGTCCAACTGAAGCCAAACTACTTATTTACCATTACCAATTTTAATAACCAGCATTAATTAGAACCATTTCACGAAAAAGACTAATCATCCTGCCTGTTTCTTTGAAGCTGCTAATGTCATTCAGTGTAACCCCTCCCACTGCTCAAACCTACCTGCAGAAATAGCTTTGTACTTTTCCAAAGCACTTTTCACTTAAGTAATGTAACCCATTTTTTAAAGTATTACATGAAGCCTCACAAACCTTCCTTCCCCTCCTCCACCCAGGGAAAAGCAGCAGACTTTTTTTTCAAACAGGAAAACAAAGCCCAAAAGGTGAGGTAAGCACCAGTCCAAAAACAGAGCGACTTCAGGGCAGAACCTGGAAGACAGCATGTATGTCTACTCCCTGACTACAGCTGCTCTACCACAGTACACCCTAAATACTTCATCAGCATGTAGAAACAGAACAGAGAAAAACAATGCACAGAGGATTTGTTAACTGCAAACAAAACCTTGCATTAGTCTTACTAAGACTCTCTAAATGTCACATTTTGCAGGCATTCTTACTCTATTAAGAGGCCTCAGGCTGGAAGCCAGTATTTATCTGACTCCCATTCAATCAGTGAGTCTGTATTTGTGGGAAGTATTTCCTGCCCCCTTTGACCAACTGGATGCAAGAAATACCTTGTGACCTTATTCTTCAAAGCCATTGGTTTGACTACCCACTGATTCCAAAGAGAAGTGTTTTGATAGGGAGCTCCACTATATAGAAGAGAAAATGAGGCAGCCCTCTGTTCAGGAGGCTTTCGTCTATCATCCAGAGTAACATTTTGACCAAAGAAGTGGAACAGAACAACCTCATATACATAAAAAATGCACAAGAAGGATATGAAACGCATACAAGAAACAGCAAAGGTAAAAGGAAGATATGGTACAAATACCCATCAATCAGTATTTGCTCCTGGCTTGGCAATTTAGATACAAACATCTTCAGGAGCCTAAAAAGGTGAGTGTAAACTACAAACTAGCTTATCCCTGCAGGGTAAGCGAGTCTGCCACAAGTGACTTCAGGGCACCAGTAAACACTTAAATCACTGTCTTTCATTCTATTTTAAGTGTCTGCTGGATCCATATTAGCAACAAGAGCCCTCAATCCTGTTTATGTGCTCAGTTTACACGTAAAAAGATAACTGCTCTTTGCGACATCCTGCCTGACTCACCTTTCACTCTGAAAGCCGAGCCGAGTACTGAGTATCCTGGCTTGCGTCAACAGATTCTGACGGCATAGCTTGGGTAACAATGGGACTGTTGATGCGTGAGCCAGCATACAAGCCAACTCCTTCCCCCAGAGCTGTGCTGCCTCTGGAGGAGCAACCAAAGGAAAAACATGCATCTATGGGTAGAACAGATCTAACTGAATGCACGCTGGGCAAGCCTACTGAGTTAAGGAGTTATTCTCAGATCAGAATCCTGCTCTGAGTTGTAGAGGAGATCTTCTGCGGGGTCTCAGTAACGCAAGGAATACATTAAATGAGATGCTAGTAGGATCATAGAACAGTGGACTGAAAAGGACCTCAGCAGGTCATCTAGTCCAACCCCTTGCTCAATGCAGAAGCATCCCTATCTAAACCATCCAAGTCAAGTGCTTGTCTAATTTGCTCTTGGAAACTTCTGTGAATGGTGCTTCCACAACCTCTGAGTCGCCAATGCAGAGCCACCCTTCCAGTGGGAAGGTTCGTCCTAATCTCCTACCTAAATTTCCCCTGCTGCAATTTAAGACTGTTGCTCCTTGTCCCATCCCCTGTGACCACAGAAAACAGACCATCTCCATCCTCCCTATAACTACGTCGCAGGTATATGAAGACACTAATCAAAGTCCCCCTCTGTCTCCTCTGCTCCAAACTACATAATTATAGTTCTTTCAGCCCTTCCTTGCATGTCGTGTTTCCCAGACTTCTCATCATTTTATCTTTCTTCACTAGACTTTATTTGTCTTCATCTTTCTTGAAGTGCAGCGCCCAACCCAGGATGCTGTACTCCCATCCACAGAGCCAATCAACATGTCGTGGAAGGAAATTGAGCTGGCTGGGTATACGTTGCTCTTGATGTTGGCTGTCACCTTGTTCTCCTCCAGGTGCTTAGAAATAGATTCCTTGATCCTTCCAGGGTGTTAGCTTATATTTGTTAACATTAACCATTAGAAATTTTAAAGGGTAAAAACAAGATGTAAAAAGAGACAGATGCAGGTGGGATTCTCATCCTTAAATGCAGAAAGGCAAAGCTCCAAAACCAAGGTCTGGGCTAAAGATAACTCGGTGCCCTTTTGTCCTCTTGCCTAGACTGTGCTTCCATTTATGCCTTTTTACTGGCCTACCCCTGCCCTGGCTGCCAATTAACCTTCTCCCTTATAACATTTTTCTTCTCAATAGCATTTGCTATTGTTCACTCATTTCCCTTTGTATCCACACAATACTATGAAATGTTACACTCAGTTTACATGTTGTTTCTAAGAGACCAACCAAAGCAACAGCTCTCTTGTGCTTCCCAACAGTTTTCTGAGGCAGAACTTCACCAGAACCGCGCCCCCACCACAAAAAAACCTAAGCCCTAAGCTCCTGCCCCACCCCTTGTTACCTCTCTGAAAAGGGAATCTTGTGTCCCAACAAGTGAAAGGGCAATTTTTCAGTTCTACCATTGTTGGGGTGTCTAAGCAGGGGATTCAAAGGGACATCCTGCTCTCGACACTCTTGATTTTTTGAGGTTGACTGGATTACTCTCTCCTGGCAATAGATCCAGGTGCTTTGTGTATGCCAGCATCAGTCCAGACCAATAATTACTGGGCTCAATAACACAGATGATAACATAGCTGTTCTCAGGCAGCAAACCTTTAAAACTGGGTTTGAATGGGAACTTGCAGAAGCAGAAATCACCTGCAGACTGGATTTTGCTAAGTCTGGTTTCAACGGAGACTGAGGGGTCTTATCCCACAGCCTGGCTCAGCTGCGGAGACTCCTTCGCTCCCACAGGTTCCTGCTGGCTGGCTGGCTGGCTGGCCGGCCTCTCCCAGTATTTCACCCTGCCCCACCCCCTCCACCCCCGCGTCTGCCTTCTGCGTGCAACTCTCTCCCTCCTCCCATCATCGCTTTGTGCGGGGGCCTTCACAGCTCCTGAGGGAGGGAGTGAGCTTCACCCACTTGTAGCTATAGGGATAGATAGAGAGCTAGAGAGCCAACCAGCCAGCCCATTCCCTGATTTCATTTATATACAAATAAATAAAATATAAATATATATATATTTATATAATCTCTCTCTCTCTCTCTCTCTCTCTCTCTATATATATATATGGACATGCACCCCATACATGCACACACACTTCCACATACTTGCACATGCACACAACAGCTGCATTTAGATCTGCCCGGATTAGTCTATAAGGTGCACGCTCCCACAGCCACCCAGGTCCGTGGCTGCCAGAGCCAGCCTGGCACTGGGGGGAGGGGCAGAGCCCCCAGCTTTACCGCCCCCGGGCTCAGCTGAAAGGACAGGGGCTCCTGGGCCGGGGGGTCACCCAGACCCCAGCACAAGACAACCGAAGGGGAGGAGGACTAGAAGGCCAAGAGGCCCCACTCACCTGCCGCCATCTTGGG